AGTTTCTAGATCCATCCATTTACCTTTAAATTTCATTATTTCATCTTTCTTTACTGCTGAGTAGAACTCCACCGTGTAAATGTACCACATTGTCATTAACCACTCTTCAGTTGAGGGGCACTTAGGTTGCTTCCATCTCTTAGCTATTGTGAAAAAAGCAGGAACAAACATGGTTGTACAAGTATCTCTGCAATTCACTAAGTCTTTGGGTATATGCCAAGGAGTGATATTTTTAAAAATATAGCTTAAGTTTCTTAAGACAACAGTTACCTCAGGGTATGGTGAGGAAATAAAAATAACTTAAATGACAAGATACTTCTGAGAAATTAAGTGAAGCAGTTTTATATAACATTCCAGTGGAGTCCAGTGGACTAGAATGGTTCTTGGATTTTCTGGATAATAGCCTTACTCCCTGTTAAAAATCATACTAACATGCCCTTGCCTCCAAATCCTGCAACTGGAAAGTAACGTGTCTGCTGCTGGGTCAGTGTGTCCCTCCTCCAGGACTGCACACATCAATGTACGCAGGACAAGAACAAACGTCCTGAGATGTCTCAGCTGAGCCTCTGATGCCTCACATGGCTGTGATGTCTTCCTACCATGTAGGCAGAGTTCCTATAAGCTATGAGCCAGTGGCTAAGCCTTGCAGATCTTCCTGAAATACCATCTTGCATTTAAACACAGAGTCAGGACCCAGGGTCCTCTCTGGCCTACCATACATAGTAGGAGGGTTTTCAAATGGTTTGGAGGTTTCTCTGGGTATTTCTTATTCTACCCCATTCAATCTGTCAAGAGTTCATTCTATTTCATTTCATTTATTTGTGTGTGTGAAGGGACTGTATGTATGTGTGTGGGGGGGGTATATGTGTACATTAGTGTGCAGGTACATGCACATGTAGAGGCCAGAGGAGGATATCCGATACCTTCTTTGATGACTTTCTGGCTTACTGCCTTGAGACAGACTCTCTCAGAAAAAAAAAGGAAGCTTGCCATTTCAGCCAGACTGGCTAGCCAGAAAGTGTCTGGAATCTGCCTGTTTCTGCCCCCATATGGCGGTGTTGCATTAATGAGAAACTTCACTCTTTGTTCTGAGGTATTCTAATTTCTCTCAGAACTGTTCTCTCAGAACTAAATTCTAATCTATTCTTCTATTCTATGCTACCCTACTCTACCGTCTAACAAAGGGCTCCCCTCATATTTACCGAACAGCATCAATCATAGTATGAACCATCTATGATAACAGTTTTATAAGGAAAGAAGTTGTTTTTCTGACTCGACTGACTCAGAACAGCACATACAGCCACAGATAAATGTCACTAGCCTAGGCTCCAGGGTTGCTTGCAACATTTGTGAGGTAGACATTTCCAACATCTCTGTTGTTTTCAATGTCATCACTGTCACATCCCAAGCACACACAGATACTGTTCTGAGGCAGGGATGAAACTGAGTCACAAATAGAGACATGGTATAAGAGCAAAGCTAGTCATCGAGCTTGGCTTGTGAGAGTTAGTTACCCTGAGATTCCCAATCACTGTAGCACTGATTATATTGCTTTTCTTGGAAGGAGCACACAGTTCTAAATGTTCTCAAAACATGATTAATTTGGGTTACAAGGTTATGTAAAATTTCAAAGAGTCTTTTCCATTAAGTCATTCCCACATCCCCACATCACAGGTGTATACAGTCATGTTGGCTTTTTATATGGTTGCTGGGGATTCAAACTCAGGTCTTCATGCATGCACAACAAGTGCTCTTACCCACTGAGCCAATTCCCAGCCACAGGATTTTTCTTTGGGGTTTTTTGTTGTTGTTGTTGTTGTTGTTATTGTTGTTATTTTGCTTTTTTCACGCAGCCCCAAAGGGGCAAGAAGAGACTTTAAGAGGGGAAGGGAGGATCCACCAGAATCAGAGACAGTGAATGTGGGGGCAGAGGAGCCAGAGCAGGTGAGGCCAAGCTGGGTGCTCTGGAGGACTCATCTCTCCACCTGCAGCACAGGCACTGCACCCAGGCTAGGTGAGATGTGACTCCTCTCACCTGGGGAGTGGGGAGCAGAAGGTGCCTGGTTTGGGGGCCCAGCTCCTAGGCCTGGGTGGCAATCGTGGATTCAGCTCTTGCTCCCAACCAGTGCTGGGTGGCCACCTTCAGGCAGATTAGGAAGCTCGTAGAGGGTCCCCACCACCTCTACTGGACCTAAGGAGGCCTGCGAATAAGACAGGAAAGAAGAGAAACTGCAGTCTGAAACCTCCCTCTCTCCCAACCTGGGGTAGCACAGGAAAAATAGTTGCCTTCTGGTTTCAGGCCTACCCAGACCCACAGCGACCAATAAGGTACAATCACTGGGACCAGTCACAGCCACTGGAGGTGGAGGTTATTTGTTTAAAAAAAAAAAAAAAAAAAGGTTATACTCCCCTAAAAGAATAGATTTAAGTTTTCAAGATGTGAAAAAATAATCTGTGGGAAAAAAATTTTTTTAAAAAAAAAAAAAAAAAAGGTTATACTCTCCTACAAGCATAGAGTTTAAGTTTCAAGATGTGAAAAAATAATCTGTCGTGGCCCAGGGACCTGAACATGAGAAGCCAGCCTGACAGGACCCGTGGCCTTGGGGCACGTCCAGCTAGCAGCACCCCATATTCGCCCTCCCACATCCAACACCCACCCGACCCAGCTCCCAGCTACTGCTGCCTCTCTGGGGAGCGACTCCAAGACACCTTAGCAGATGCAGAGACACAGGGGAGACTGAAGGCCACGAGATCCAGACAGAGGGTTTCAAAGTTCTTGAGGAACACTTCAGCCACAATGCAGGCCTGGGCATTGACCAACAGCTTGAACTCACTGATCTCATCAATATCCTCCATTAAGTGAATCACAAAGTCCAACTTGTGCTTGTACATCAGAAAGCTGATGTCATACCCCTCCACTGGTTTCCTTCAAAGGGTAAAGAAATTCTCTGTCGCATCATCATGAAGCATATGAACTTACGGCATGAAATCTTCTTAACCCATCAGTCTGTTTCACGGACTGCCGACCTGCACAGAACAGAGGGAGCCCTCAAGCAGCACTGTTTCCTTCTCATTCCTGCTGATGGTAGCAGGCTGCAACAGGAGCTCTGTGCTACTCCGTACTTCCAACTCTGGCTTGTGTCGTTCCATAGGCCGGGAGGAGAAGTTCTTCAGGCAGAAGGCAGCCCATAGTGTGGCCCACACAGCACTAACGTAGGGGCAGAGAGTGGTAGTCATTGTGGGCAGTGGCTGGGCCAGAAAGTAGAAGTCTTCTCTTTGTTTTTTAAAAGGTAGGGTTGAAATTAAGCTTGACCACCACTACCAGGAGACGACTGAAAATCAAGATGCTGAGCCCAGTGCTGGGCATGTTGACACAGAACTGTAATCCCAGTGCTCAGGAGGATGAAGCAGGAGGACTGCCACAAATTTGAGCCCAGCTTGAGCTATATAATGAGTTCCAAGTTAGCCTGGGCTATACAGAGTGAAATCCAGTCTTAGAAAAAAAAAAAGAATCCCTACCACAGCCTATAACTGACTGTTTGTGACCCTCAGAGAGCCACTTTTCTCTGCTTCAGAGCTTTCCCTGGGGCTCAGAGCTTCTTCACTGAGCCCTGAGCAGTTGGCCCAGAAGGCCAAGGCACCTCTCACCTTGCTCACAGCAGGGTAGCTTCCCTTCGGCCTCACACACTCAACTTTTGCATGAGATTTCATTTTCTTGCCTTGCTTTTTTTAAATATGACAAACACAGAGCTACAGGACCAATCCTAAGCCTCTCTCTGAATCTTATACTGCACCCAACCACAAGGCAACATGCAGGAGAGGATTCTATCTTCTAACAGAAAGAGCATTTAAGTCAGAATTACAGCATCTCACACCCATCCATCCATCCATCCATCCATCCATCCATCCAACCTTTCATTCATCTATTACAGAGACACATATGGATTCTTCAGTAAGTCATAAGAAAATACAGTAAGTATGAGAACACAGTAGTGAAAAAGATAGTCTCTGGCCTTCTGATGAGTCCAAGGCCAAAAGGGAGTGGGGGGGGGGGTACATGTTCCTCTGAGGCTGAGGGGCAGGGCCTGCTGCAGACAATTGGCTGTGGAGAGTTAGCTGAGGAGAGAGGAGCGTTGGCACCATCTTGGAAGCAGGTGTTGCAGAAAATATGCCATGGGCCCACGAGGCATGGGCGAAAGCTAATAGAGACTGTGAGTGGGGCACAGAAGTGATCTGGAACGGTAGGCTGCTGAGCCACAGAGCGGAACAGGGATCCAGGTGTGGGGCACTGGGTATTCACCTTGGTAAGTTACTCTATTTCCCCTACCCAGGATATAATCTATGAAAAATTCAGATAAAGATGTGCTATGTGGTTTGTCTAATGGCGCCAGGAGCAAGGGGCCCTAAGAGAACTCAGGAGACAGGGAGACAGACATGAACGAAACAAAGTTGTTCTATTGCAAAGGCAGAACACAGAAGAGGAACCCACAGGGTGCTATGAAAGCCTGTGATGAGCCTGGGGGATCATGGGACCCTCCCCACCTCAGGAAAGTGTGTTGCCTTGGCTTTCTCAAGTCCAACTCCCCTGGATACGCTAAACCCAGTTCCTGCCTCTGCTGACCAACATGTCACAGCAGACTCACCACTTGGACTTTACTCATAACCAAAGAAGGAAACACACAGGCAGGGAGGGAAATTTTTAGAAGACCTGCATACTATATTCTTAAATAGTCTTACTAAAATAGCGACCTGTACAGAGAAAGGAACAGAGAGAACAGCTGCCAGAGCCCAACAGGGCAGGCCCAGGTTCACTGAAACAAAGTGCCCTCAGGCTGGCCAGAAGGTACTTGGTGCTGGTGTGGTGAACTTGGCTCGGTCTGGGGATTTGTCAGCGGTTGGCCAGCCCAAGCTTCCTGCCACAGCTGCCAGAATACTGGGTGATGTGGCACAGCCAGACTGTTCCAGAAATCAGTACTATACCTTAAAAGATATGCACTCACTTTGTTTTCCCTGTAGAGAAACTTGAGATGCAGAACGTTGCGGAGGTCATTTCTGCTGTTGATGCTGAGATCAGAGCGGGGGCGTTCCTGGTCCAGGGTCACAAACGTCTTCTTCAAGCCCTGAGGGAAGAAGACTGAATCACTGTTTGCATTTTAAATGAAAACCTTCCCTTCTCTGAGGCAGTGTAAACAAAAGGCTGCCCGGATTCATTAGAATCCTCACATCCTGTCTTCAAAGCTGACTTCAGAATTCATTTTCCTATAACCTTGGTATTTGACATCATCATCCATTTGTTTGGGAGTCAACTAAGGCTACAGTTGAAGGCCCATTTTATAGATAAGAGTGAATCCAGGTAACTGGCTTGCTGAAGTCCAGGAGCTCCACATTTGCCCTAGACTTAGGGCCATGAAATATGAACCTTTAAAAATAAACAAATGGGAAAAAAAAAAAACCTAATCAAAAGGCCAACATTCATTCCCTTCACTTAGCTGAGGAGGCCAGGAGACAGGGTTGACTTACCCAGGGCAACAGAATACAGTCACATGGTAGGGATGTGGATCAGCCCAGCCTGAGAGCCCTCAGTTGGGACCCAGGTCCTGTGAAACACTTCATGAATGTTGGCCGAGTCACCAGAAAAGCACTGTCCATCACCCCACCTAAATGTCCAAAGACCAAGGTCCTGGCAACAATAAACGGGGGAGGCATGTACCCTGGAGCCTGGAATCTTTATTTGAAAACAGCTACAACAGCTGCTGATTCCCCCTCATAGGACAATGTGATCACCAGAGGGTTATAGATGTCTCATCCTCCTCCTCCTCTGGGGTCAAGGGTATCCCTTGGTCCTAATGAATCTCAGACTCTCAGTGCTAGCTAGGTCTCAACTTTCTCATTGCCTTTGGGCTCAGAACTTTATAGTGGCTGCAACTGATGGGAAAACAAGATCAAACTCACTGCCTGCCACAAGTTTAGGTAAAAAGGTGAATCTAGAAAAACAAAGATGTGCACAGAATGTTGAACCAGGGAGAGAAAGGAAGGGTCTTCAGAAAGGACACAGAGAGAAGCATATGTGTAACCATAACTTTCCCCAACCAATGTTTCAGGGATCATTCAGTAACGAGGGTCCTTCTCTGATTACCCCTCTCTGGATCCACGCTTGTCATTAGCCTCAACCTTAGTATATCTAACACACACACACGCACACCAGGCTGTGTGACACACCGTCTGGACACCAGCCAGGTAGGGTACAAGCAGCCTGGACACTCATCTAACACTTGTTCTTCACCCATCACTGTATGCCAGGCTCTGTTCTAGGATAGCAAGTTTGGAAAGAATGAGAGCTAACTGCTGGGGAAGCAGATCATAATAACGGAAAACAGTCTGCCCACTGCCAAGGTGTGCTCTATAAAAATGAAACAACAGGGAGAGCTAATACGAAGACAAGGGGCACCATTTTCAATAATCAGCTATTTGTTGAGCATCAACCCTGTGCTCACACTTGTCAATGAAGCACTAACTAGTCCACTAGTCCAGCTACTGGTGCAGAGTGAACAGATCAAACTCCTGTCTCAGAGAACTTAAATTCTATAGGGGAAAAGAGAGAGAGTGAGAGAGAGGGCAAGAGAGAGAGAATGAAACAGGAGAGGTCTAGGGAAGGCTATTATTCTATAAAAGAAGTCAGTTCTTTAGTTATGTGAGGGAGCAGGACATGCAGATACCTGGGGGGGGCATATTCCATGCAAGGAACAGCAAGTATAAAAGTTCTACAGCAGTTCCAAGAGCCAAGACATCTAGAGCCTTGTGCCTGGGGAAAGTGACAGGAGATATGGTCAGGAAAGTTACCCAGGGAACAGAGAGATGGCTCAGTGGGTAAAATGTTTCCCACTCAAGTATGAAAGCTTGCAGTTCAGATCCTCAGTACCCACATAAATACCAGGCAGGTGTGGAGGTCCTCCTGTAATCCCAGTGCTTAGGGAGCAGAGACCTTGGATCCCCAGGACAAGCCAGCTAGCTACATTAGCTGAATGACCTAGATCTGGGTTCAAGTTGGAGACCCTCCTCAATACATAAGGTGGGGGGTGATCAAGTAAGACACCTGAGGTCGACCTTGGGCCTCCACACATGTACACACAAATACACATAAACATATACATACAACACATACACACATACATACACACACGCACACGCACACACACACACGTCACCCAGAGCCTGAGAGGGCCATGTTGGCTTTTGTGAAGTTGGCAGGGGGATTGTGGCTACAGAAAAAAAAGAACATGGGAGGCTGGAAGACTTAGCTGTTAGAATGAAAACAAACATATATAGGGGCAAAGTATTAAACAGGAACTATTGAGGAAGCTACTGGGCAAAGCACAGTCAACATGGAACCTAGGGGTAGCCTGGAGCGGAGCAGTAACCACAGATGTCTTAGGAAGGCTATGCTCTGATGGTAAAGCCAGAAGGTGGCTAATGGGCTGGATGGGAGGAGCACCCAAGGAGATGAGCCCCTACCCTATAGGGCCTGTACTAACTCTAAGCACCCAGCTGGCACTCAGGGATGGAGACCTGGCTGGTGCAGAGGGAAAAATCCACGCATTTGGAGTTGGAAACATGAGCAGAAAGACTAGCCAAGGTGTGCTGAAATGCTAAGGAGGAAGAAGAGGCACTACCTATCACACAGGTAGGAGCAAGTCAGGAGTTCAGAGAGAGGTCAGCATAGCGAACTGTCTCAAAGCAGACAGCATCAGAACCCAGGTGACATTTCAAGAATGAATGGGGAGGAGCCCAGGGGCTACACAGCACAGGTCAGAGAAAGGAGGTGCACCCAGCAAAGACCCTGTGTAAGAGCCACCAGGGAAGGAGGAGGAAAGCCCAGAGCAGGTGGTCTAGGAGCAAACATGTTAGAATAAGAAAGAGGAGGAAGGCAGACATGGTGGCACACACCTTTAATCCCAGCACTCAGGAGGCAGAGGCAGGCGGATCGCTGTGAGTTCAAGGGCAGTCAGGGCTACATAGTGAGACCCTATCTCCAACAACAACAGAAGTGTCAGGAGTACAAATTAGAGACCAATGGTGACCTGGAAAGAGTGGGCTTCATGGACTTTGGACAAAAGCCTGACTGGGATGAATGTAAGGCAGTGGGGAACAGAGTGAGTACTGAAGTATACACAGCTCTTTTATGAGGTTTTGTTAAAAAAGGGAGAAGACCAGAGGACAGAGGGGATTGGGGATCAAGCTAGGGTCCCACAGTAGCGCAGAGCTGACAGGATGCTGACAGAAGCGGACATGTGCAGAGCAGGGGAGTGCAACAGTGACAGCGGGTCATGTCCTGGAGCATGAGGATTTGTGGAGGAGGGGCTCAGATGGGGAAGGCTTGCTTGAGGGTGGGGAGCCTCCTGACTGTCTCTGTCTTCTCAGGAAAACTGGATAAAAACAAAAGGCGATGTGGAAAGATCATACAGCATTTGAGATGGAAACAGGCTAAAGAGAGCCAAACAGCAGACCAGCACCCCGAGGTACCATAGCCTAAGTAGTTATAGTTTAAGATGAAGTCATCAACGTGAAAGTATCTTTGTCCAATTCTGTTCAGCTCTGTAGAGCAGGCCTGGAGCAGGCCAACTTGAATTGTATCCCATCTGAGGAGTGTAATAGACAGAAGGCCAAGAGAGTCAAGCAAGTTAAAGCATGAAATTATAATGAAGGAAAGAGAAGAAGTGAGGGGGTCACGTTAGGATGGGGACTGTGAAAGCTTGGCAAGGACCATAAAATGTAGCTGTAGAACAGTTTGGGTCTAAGAAGGGGAATGATCTAGAAATGAGGACAGATGGGATACTTGGAACTAAGATGATGGACTGTGAGGACAGGAATGACCATGTCAAAAAGTAGCAGATGTCAGGTAGAGGTCATGTCACTATAGGAGAGAAGCCAAAGACCCAGGATGCTTGGTCACCAGAAAAGTCACTTCTGTGGACCTTGACATCACCAGGAGACCACAATGAGTTCTAGGAGGCCCCTGTGGCTGGAGGTGGAGAAATGACTTTTATTAATGGACATAATCTGGACTAATGTACTTTTGGGTCTGATGACCAGGGTGTCTCCTTAGCAACCTCAATTTGGTACTCCACCCTAAAAGGATTATGAATAAACGTGGATATACATGATAAGTAGCGCACCCACCCACTGGAAATTGGAGGGAGGAAAGGATGTGTGACCTTGGATGAATGTAAAACAGGGATGAAAAGACCAGATGGTCCGTGAAGATTAAGGGTGGAGTCAGACTTGAACTTGTACTTCCCCAGGGAAGCTGGAGAAACCATTTTGAATAAATTATGGGTATGGCCTGATGGGGAAAACCATGGGAGAAAGAGGGTTCCAGAGACAGCTCCATTGGCACAGGGTGAGGGGACAAGACAGAACCATAGGCACAGTTCAGGGAAACAGACGATTCTAATAGACAGCTAGGGGAACTAGTGTCCCCCAAATGTGGGCCCACTCTTAAAAGTTTAATTTAAGAGTCTGTTTGTTCAGGTGATTATGATGTTGGCGTAATAATAAATGCCCTATGGAGGGTAGACTGTGGGAGATGCAGATGGCAGGCAGGTCTGAATGACAACCAAGTAATGCACAGCCTGTGGTCCAATGATGGGGATGCTGGGAGAGGGTTCAGGGCACGGAGGTGACACAGCCTGGCCTGCTCATCCTGGGTGAGTTTCTTTGCCTCCTGGTCTCACAACACTCTTGAATGAAAAGGCATACTGTAAATATACCTATCTTTCAAGGTGGTTATAAGGATTTGGGAAAGCGAGCTTAGCAACAGGGTGGGAACTGATGGTTGTGACTGCCAGGTACCTGCTTGAACATAGTCCTATGGAGATCATAGGGTCTCTGCCCCAGAGCAGAGGCAATAAGAAAAGTAAGTGCAACCAGACATGAAGGTACACACCTGTAATTCTAATATACAGGAGGCACAGGCAGGAGGATCATGAGTTTGTACCCAGCCTGGGCTACATAGAGTTTGAAAAGAACCTGGGTTATATAAATATGACCCTGTCTCAGGACCACATTCAACTACCACCACCACAAAAATAAACAGTTGCCCTAGCCTGCAGTGCCAGTTCTGTGACTTTATAAGTTTCTGAAGATACCTCATCCATCTCTTAAATAAAAACATGGGAGGAAGAGGCAGACAGGCAGGTAGACTGAGATGTTGCCTGGTTGAGATCATCTTGGTAGCCCTGTCTAGGAGGTGAGACAGGCAGGTGTAATAGCTGTAATATAAGTAACAAGCAAACAGTTGAGATGAGTCCAGGTCCAGTCCTGCAGGAGTAAGCCCAGAAAAACCTGAGAAGAAACAGCCTTGAAGGGGACTAAGTAAGTTAAGGGAAACATGAGGGGAAAGCTAGAAGCAAAAGTGGGAAGGTAAGATGAGGGCAAGCTGTGGGGCACCCAAGATGTCAGTGAAGACTCTCAGTTGACTTGCACTCAAGAAAGGGCTGGTGAGATGGCCCAGCTGTTAAGAGCACTGGCCGCTCTTGCAAAGGACCCAGGTTCGATTCCCAGCCTCGACATGGTGGCTAACAACCATCTGTAACTCCAGTTCCAACAGATCTGATGCCTTCTTCTGACTTCAAAGGGCACTGCACCACATAGGTACACTTAAACACATGCAAGCAATACATATACGCATACATATCAAATAAAAATAATAAATAAAATGATTTTTTTAAAAAGAAAGGAAGACTTCCCTAACACTTCTAAATCTAGTGCCCTGACTTACACAATGCCAGTAGTCCCAGCACATGTCACTGATATATCCAGCTCAAACCCACAACTCGGGGATAGACGGTCAATGCAGACCCAATCAAGTCAAAACCATTAAAACTTTTCAAGGTAAAAATAAATTATAAAAAGCACACAGGCATTTTCAGAGATGCCTATATAGTACTATCCCTCCCTCTACATCTGCCATGAGTGGATCTTAAATTTTCCTATGTTGAAGATAAGATTGAGGTAGCAATGTGCTCAAACTCACACTGAAAACTAGTAACATATTTAAACCTTCATCATCTAACTCCAAAATCTTTCCCCTTTGTTCCACTCAAATCTGTGTGTGTGTGTTTTCATCTCAAATTCGTGCCCCTCCGTCAGGCCCAACAGCACATCACACGGAAGCACAGACCCCACCGTGCACAGCTCTCAGCCACTGCATGTGGAATATACACCAATGCTCCTAACACCTCCGACCCATGAAGCTCCTTCCTTTCCCAGGTCACCATGGGAGCACTCAGGTCCTCCTAATTTGTAAACACTCTGAAAACTCTCCAGGGACAAGACAGTAGGAGAACTTACATTAATTCTCCTACAAAAATTCATGCAAAAGACGCAATTTCCATTAAAGTGACTAACAGGCTTGAGTGCCCAGAACTTTGAGGGAAGTTCTTTCCTAGGGACAGGTCGCATGTCCTGCGGATGAACATCCTGGGGGCTGGCAGCTAGGCTGGGAAGCCTGGGCTCTGCACTGGACACCCAGGCCCACCTTGCCCTCTATGGTGACACTGGGTGCCCGGGGAAAGCGGCCAGCACTGGACTGGCCAGGCCGAGAGGAAGCGCGTGCTGGCTCTTGGGAAATGTAGTTTCCCCGTCCCCGGAAAGGCATGCTCCGGGGACCTCGGAGGCCGGCTGCGGCGTGGAATGTGAGGTGCTGCAACGCCCGCTACCGTAGCTCGGGGCAGCCTCCTGGACTTCGATGGCTCTTACCTTCCTGCTGAGGAACTCCCTAACCAGGGAGGTGGCCACCTCCTCCACGTACAGGGTGTCCATGCCGCCGCTGCTCCAGAGTCCGTTGGGCCCAGTATGGCGCCGTTGCCGTGGCGACGGAAGCTGCAGAGCCCAGGAAAACTCCTCCTCTTGCCTGGGCTCCCCGAGGGAGGCGAGGAGGGAGGAACGTCCTCGGGCGGGGAGGGAGGAGCGTCCTCCCAGCTGCCTCTGCCGGGGCTCCGCCTCAGAGGACCATGGGCAGCCGAGAGCAGATGGTCCCGTGCCTGGTCGGATCCGAGGGTCCATTATTCTAGATAAACAATGAGGAGCGCTCATCCCGCGGTTCGCCAGAACTCTCATTCTGGAGTGCTGGAAAGACAAAGACTTCCTCCTCCTCAGCATCTGTGTTCCTATAAGAACACTGTTCTTGAGCACCAGGGGCTTCATAACGGTAACCACACCTTTAATTCTGCCAAGGTGGTTATTATTGACCCGTTCTTTAAAGAAGACATTGAGATTCCAGAGGGCAGTGTTTGTTACCATCTAAGAACTGGGAAGGACTGGGAGGTTGGTGGAGCCCAGGTCTTTGCCAGTCACTTGGGTTCCACCTTAATCTCTGTCTCCTCAGAACTGGGCATCCTTTGGAAAACTTAAGGCAGAGAAGAGACAAGATCTAACTGGTTTTGACAGGGCTTCTGACAAATGGCTCTTTTGACTATGGACTGAAGAGGAGCAAGAAGTCTGGAATCAAGGCGACTAGGAAACAGCTGTGATTATCAGTGATCCCGGTAAAGTTCAGGATTAACATAGTAGCCATGTGAATGGGGGTGGGGGGCTGCATGTGTATCTATGCAGAGCCGTGGCTCTGTCCAGCTGGTAGTCAGTGGACTCCTGTGTTTTTGTGACTAACACAGGGAGATGCTGCAGCCCTAAATGCTGTCTGATTTCCTGTTTGGTTCTGGCAACAGGGAGCATCAGGTGTGTGCTGGGGCATGGAACAAGGAGGTGAGGCCTGCTGCTGAGGGGCAGGAGTTTTATGAAGGCCTGGTCTCTTCCACAGTACTCTGGGAAGGACACTGACTGAATGGACCCTTCCAACTCAAGGCTCTTGAGGGCAGCTCATCAGAGAACACACCATAGTCTGGGGCCAGAGAGAAGGGGAACATGGATCTGCTGAATTGCAACAAGTCTGGCTCAGCAGAATTAGCAGGACATCATGAAAGTCCTTCTGATGACTTGACCTTCAGAATTTCCTAGCTATCTGGCCACCACTTCCAGAGGTCAGAATATACTTACCTGGTAGGGGAAACACCATGATCAGGAAGGTGGTTTTCCCAGGGCGAGGCACATCCATTGCACTTTGGGATGTGCTGACCCCTGTGATTTCCCCAAATGCAGGAAACTCAACTAGATAATTTGTGGTAGTGGGGGACTGCATTCACACTTTCCCCTGGTTTTCTATATTTAAATATGTACTCTGGGGGCTGGAGAGATGGCTCAGCAGTCAAGAACACTCGTTGTTCCTGCAGAAGACCCGGGTTTGAATCCCAGCACCCACATGGCAGCTAACAACTGTCTGTAACCCCAGTTCCAGGGGATCCGACAGCCTCTTCTGTTCTCTGCAGGCATTGCACGACATGGGTGCACTTACCTACCTGCAAGCAATGCATGCATACACATAAAATAAAAAATTAAAATTAAAAAAAGGTTCCCTCCCAGGCCACCATCCAGGAAGCATGAGAAACACACTCTCCCTTGTGGGCCTGTCATGTCAGCCACCTCCCAATCTCTGCACCTGGGCTGCATTCACATGGCCACCAACGTGAGCCTGGAGATGGGGTGGGGACTCACAGGCCCTGCAGGCCCTGAAAGATAAGATGGGACAGCCTTGTACTCTATGTGTACATCTGAGAGGGTCCATGTGAGGCCAAATAGAAAGACAGAAATTTTTATGGAAATATGAGAAGGAAAAGGAACCTCTTACCCAGAAATCTGGTTGAAATCTCTAGCCAGCTGAGAATCAAGGATTCTAACATAATTAACATTTTATTAAGGCCTTCCTCTTTTCTTAGCTGTAAGCCTATGATTTTCTAGTCGTCTTACCAGAAACCCCTTTTATATTTTATGGTGTTACCTGGACTTCCTAGTACCTGTACAGGTTCAACGACATAGAAACAGCATTCTTCTTGTTACATTGTACAGACCCTGCCTTTGTTGGCTGTTAGTAAATCTGGAGCCAGTCTATTTTGAAATAACATCATCACAGAGTTCAGCTGTCTTTGCATCATTGTACCAGGGAAACAAATTCTGATCTGTTGACTTATGAATAGGGAGCGTTCTCTTGGTTAGACTGAGTGAAATATACTCCTAGTACCAAGTCCCAAACCAGTGAGAACCCCTAAAAAGAATACTGAGAAACTGGTTGTCATTTGGGGTCATGGATTAATTTTCCTTGAAAATTAAGTGAAAGGGAAACTTGGACAGGGATGCCAAGAAAATAAAATCAGGTAGTGAACAGGTGAACTGCTGTGCAGAGTCCCTACCCGGCAGTAGGGAGACATAAAATGGTCCATTCCACAGAGGATGTAGACTCAAGAGAGTGGCCCAAAGCAAGGCCAGAGGAGCAGCATCCTTATCTGTGCACAGGGCAGAAGAAAACAGTTTGTGCATAGAGGGTAAAGTCCATCTAGGGCTGTAACTGCCAGAGTGCGTTACGGCAGGATTAAGACCCTGCATGGGCAATAAAAACCTCTGATAGGGCTTCCCAGGATGAGCTGTCCTCTTCTCTATGGAATTTCTTTTTTTAATTAAACTTGTTCCTTGACAGTTTCATCCATGTATATAATGCATTCAGATTACACTCACCCCTCTCCTACCTCCATCAACCCCCTCCTTTCACAGACCCTCCTCCTGCTTTCGGGTCATTTTGGTTTTGTTTTGTAACCAATTGAATTTAGCCAGAGCCACCTACCATCCCCATGCATATGGGTGTGGAGCTATCTACAGGTCATCACTAAAAATACTGACTCTCCCTCCTCTATTATCCTTCAAAGGCCAGTAGTTCCCCAGGGAGGGGTGAGGGTCCATGAGTCCCTCCCCGATTCATGACCTGAATGTTGACAAACCCAGTCTTGTCAATGCAGACCATAGCAGCCGGTGTGAGTTTTTGGTTGTAGCAGCCATGCTACGCCCATAAGGTATTTTCTCATTCTTTCCTCTTTATAGTCTTTAAAAATTATATATATATATATATAGAGAGAGAGAGAGAGAGAGCGAGAGAGAGAGAGAGACAGAGAGAGAGACAGAGAGAAAGAGAGAGAGCTGGTATGGTGATACTCTTATTCTCAGCACTCAGGAGGCAGAGGCAGGTGGATCTCTGTGAGATGGAGGCCAGCCTGGTCTCCATAGCAAGTTCCAGGCCCGCTGGAGCTACAGGAAGATCCTGTCTCAAAAAGACATAAAACAAACAAAAAACCACTTACACTGATTCTTTGAGAATTTCACACAATGTATTTCGATCATATTCAGATTCCGTCCTCCATCTGCACCCCACTTACTTCCTTTCCCTCTCTGACTTCATGTCCTCTAATCTTTTTCTGAAAGGCCTCCTGAGTCTGATTTGTGTTCGCAAAAACCCACCTTTTGGGGTGGGTTCATCCCCCTGGAACCTGGTCAACCTACCTAGCATCATACCCCTAAAGAAAACTAACTGACTGACCCTCTCTCTCTCTCCCTCCCTCCCTCCCTCCCTCCTTCCCCCCCCCCCCCCCAGCTCTCAATTGCCAGTAGTTCCTCAACTAGGCTTGGAACTTCTTGCCCACTTCCCCTGCCCCCACACATGGTGGGATTTTTGTCTGATTTGAGCTTGCAAAGATCTTTTGTGTGCTGTTACAATTGCTATGAATTCATATGTGCAACTGCTCTGTTGTATGGAAAATAATTTCCTTATAGTCATCCACCATCTCTAGCTCTTATGATCTTTCTATCCCTTCTTCTGCAATGATCCTTGAACCATAGGAGAAAAAGGTGTGATATAGGTGTCTCATTTAGGGCTGAGCGCATCATAGTCTCCTATCCTCTGCACATTGACCAGTTGTGGGTCTATATTAATCACCATCTGGTTCAAGAAGAATCATCTCTGGTGAGAATTGAGAGATGCATTAGTCTATGGGTATAACAATAATTAGGAGTTCATTTAATACTATGTCCATTTAGCAGAATAAGGGCAATAGTTTCTCCCCTATGACTTCCCATCTATTTAGCCACATGTTCTTGGCCCTGATAACAGTGCCAGGTATAGACTCCATCTTGTGAAGTGGACCTTAAAGCCAATCAAAAAGTGCTTGGTTACTCCCACAACATTCATGTCAGTATTGTACCAGTGGGCTCACCTTGCCGGGCCAGCTGTTATTGAGACTCACAGGGTTCGCAGCTAGGGAAGGCTGACGATTACTTTTCTCTTCCAGCAGCATACATAACACCTTCCAGCACTATGAAAGCTATCCAGTAGAGATGAAGCTTCAAGGTCAGTACCAGTGTGATTTCTCTTTGTTCTACAGTTCATGTGTGTAGTATCTTTAGCAATAGGGTCTTGCCATCAAGTTCTGGCAGACAACCGAGAGCACTGGCAATAGCCAGGTTTGTTTGAGGGTCTGTGGGACCTAGAACAACTTCAAAAGAGGGAATCCATTCCTGGCATTGGACTGTTTATTTGCCAGCCTGTCTGGAAGGGGCCTTGCCCCCTTGCCCCATTATAGGTTAACTCCATTTAAACTTCTGTAATAGAAGCTTCTGTAACAGTAAGTTTCCATTTGACGTCTTCAAAAAGCCTTTAGTGTTATCATCCCTCCTCATACTCCCTCCTGTGCCCTGCTCTCCCATTCCCCACCCCATTTAACCCAAGCTACTCCATTATTCCCCCTTTCCCCTTTATATCACTGCATTCTATCTTCCCATCCCCCATGGCTCCTTACTAGTTTCCTGGCCTCAATGGATTTTCTGGTTGAAACATATCTAAAGATTCAAAGCTAGCATCTCCTTAGGAGAAAGAATATGTGGCATTGGTCTTCCTAGGTCTGGATTACCTCACTCAGGATGATTGTTTCCAGTGCCACTCATTTACCTGTGAATTTCATTATTTTGTTTTTCTTAACAGCTGAGTAATATTCCATTGTGTAATGTCCCATACTTTTATTATCCATTCATCAGTTGATAGATATCTAGTTTTGAAGTCTGTTTGTCCAGTATTAGAATAAGTATCTGTCTGCTTGTTTTCTGGTTCCATTAGCTTGAAATACCTTTTTCCACACCCTTTACCCTAAAGTGCTTGATCATATCCCGCCCCCTCACTCTTCCTTCCAACTCTCCCTCGGACCCTCCAATCAGATCTCCCTCCCAATCTCAAGACCTCCTTTTTTAGGTGTTTTTTTTTTTTTTTTTGTTGTTGTTGTTGTTGTTGTTGTTTTGGAAGTAGCAAAAAAGCTAGATTCTCTCTTCTAAACCTACCTGTTAGCCTGTGTTTTTTATTGGGAAATTGGGAGCGTTGATGTTCAGTTACTATTGAAAGGTGTGCTTTAGTAATTGCCACTTTGTTGGCTTTGTGGTGCTATCCTATTCCTCACTGCTTAACTGTCCTGGTATTTTGTTTGTGTTGTGTTTTGAGACAGGGTTTTCCTGTCCTGGAACTCCTATATAGACCAGGTAGGCTTTGTTCTCACAGAGATGTGCCTGTGTCTGCCTCCTAAGTTCTGATATAAAAGGAGTGTACCAGCACACCTGGCATTTCTAGTACTTTTATTTGTCCCCTATGACCTCTTAGTTTTGTTCATCTTCATGCCAAAATATTCTTTTCAGTGTCCTCTATAGAGCTATCTTAGTGATACTAAATTCCTTAGGTCTGTTTTTGTCATGGAAAGTTTTTCTCATTCAATATGAGTTTTACTGGGTATATAGTAGTCTGGGTTGGCAGTGGCCCGTGCGCATAGAAAACTTGTCTCAGCCCTGAGCTGTACCCATCCACTACTTGGTGCCTGGAGATCTGTGGGTGTATGCATGCCCAAATTCATGTCTGGACCAGGGCTGCTTGACACTTTGAATCCTGCAGACTTATGTGACCTAAATCCTACCTCACCCTCAGACCACTGGGCCAAGTCCACTGAATCTACTGTTTAGTGTCTGGGGTCTGGTGAGCCTGTGTGCACCAAAACCCGCCTCACCACCAGGCTGCCAGTCCATTCACCCTCTCCCATGTGATGACTGAGACTCTGTAGGCCAGTGCATGACTAAACCCTGCCTCACACCCAGGGCTACCAACACCAGGCACCTGGGATCCCATGGGCCTGTGTGCACCCCAACTCTATGGTATTTCTTAGTTAGTAGTCTTAGCTACTGGTTCTTGGTTGGAAAAAGAAGCTATCATAAAAATAGGTCATGTATTTAGTTAGCTATGGGTCAATTTTGCTTATCTTGTTCCAGATTCAGCAGAGTTATAGTAGAAGATTAAATTGTTGGGTTTGTAAAGATAGGTGTCCTGGTCTTGATCATCTAGATTGGAGATTGTTTATAGATTGGAGATTGTTTCAGGATTTAAGGGAACTTTTGAGGGAGCAATTGAATTCTTTATGGAACATTTGGAAGGTCCAGAGTAGGAGGCTTTTGTACAAATGGGAGCTGATTGGGTTAATATTAATCTGGAGTATATTGGTCCAGAATTTAGTAAGGATTTACCAAAGACAGTGAAGAATTGAATTTTCAATATTTTATTTATTATTTTTATTTTATGTGTATGAGTGTTTTGCCTGCACTATGTAAGTGCACCATGTGTGCAATACCCCACAGAGGCCAGAAGAGGATTTCGGGTCTTATGGAGTTCATCTTATGATGGTTGTTAGACATCATGTGGGTCCTCTGGAGAAATAGCAAGTATTCTTAACCACTGAACCATCTTTCCAGTCCCATATTTGGATTTTTATATTAAAATCTTAATATGAAATCTTAATGTGAAAGGTGACATTGATGATAATCCAGTCTAAAAGTTTTACTGGATGTGGATGAGATCCATAGTTGAGGATGGAGGGTCACAGATACAATAGTTTCTATAACTAACATCCTTTGTTTATTTAGTGGCTGGATGTCCTTTTAGGTAGTTTCATGATGGAATGGGTAGGAGAAATAAGGAGAGGAGGATTTCAGGAGAATGAATAGAAGAAAAAAGTCAAACCAGAGGATGAACATGGCAATAGTCTTAGCCTGAGCAAAAGAAATTATTTCACCCAGCAAGAAATATACAGGTTCTCATATTCTGATTTGAGATTAGGCCAGGTGTGGTGGTGCATGCCTTCAATCCCAGCACTCAGGAAGCAGAGGCAGTGAGATCTCTGTGAGATGGAGGCCAGCCTGATTTACATATTGAGTTCCAAGCCAGCTGGTGGGGAGACTCTGTCTCAAACAAACTAAAAAGATTATGACTTCTTTGGGGAGGTGCAAGAGAAGCCAAAAACAAACAATTGCTGAAAATGCCATCGTCAATCATAGCTAGCAGTTTCTAAATTCAAGGTGAGTTCCTCAAGGATATGATCCTGGATATTTTCTTGAAGATATTTTTCCCTGGCTAGAGTTAGCCTGATCTGTGAATAAACTGATAAGTGAGCTGAAGCTCTTTTGTGGTAGAATCATAGGCTTCTCCTGCTCTCTCAGGCATTTGAAAAGGAGCCGAGGTCACCTCTAGGCTCACAGATATAGTGTGTGATTGGCCAGTGGTTAAGAACTTGGTCTTTTGGATAATTTAGTGGAGATATTGGCGCATGTAGAGACAGTTGCATATAGGACTGCAATCTTTCATTGGGAGTACTGAGGATAATTTGAAGTGTCTCTTCCAGGAAAGTTGAAGGAATGGCGTTTGTCCTGGTGGCCCCCCGAGGAGGTCCTGGTCCTCAGGTTTCATGTTTATGATCTAGTATGAGGGGTGGGAGAAAGATGCTATCAGTATGCTCCCTTAGCAGGTTTCTAGCAAACTCTGAAGAGGACAGTTTCCCCGAGGAGGAGGTTTGATAGGTATGCCAGAGTGGAATAGAGAGGGCCTACTGTACACTAGCTCAAAGGATTTAAGTGCAAAAGTTCTTGGGAATGGTTGTAAATATTTTTACACTTATTTATTTTTATTTATTTACTCTTTATTTATTTGGTGTGTGTGCATGTGTGTGTACAAATGAATGTGTGCCATGGCACATGTGTGGCGATCAAAGGAAAACTTGTAGGAGTCCATTCTCTCCTTCTACCATTTGGGTCCTAGGGATTGGACTCAGGTCATCAGGCTTGGTGGCAAGCATCTTTACCCACTGAGACATCTTCCCCAGACATTTAAAATTTTTATTACATTTTATTATTTATTCATTTATTGTTTATTTTGTATGTGAAGTGGCTATTATGCGACAACATGCTTATGGAAGTCAGAGAACAATTTTTGGGAGTTGATTCTCTCCTTCTAAGATGTGGGTCCTCAGGATTGAATTTAGGTCACCAGGTTTTACAGCAAGCAACTTTACCTGCTATGGTGGTAAATGAAAAATGTGCTCCATAGGCTGAGCTTCTGAGCACTTGGTTCTCAGCTGGTAGCACTGTTTGGAGAGGTTATGGAACCTTTAGGAGGCGCAGTCTTACTGGAGGAAGCATGCTACTGAGGACAGGCTTCAAGAGGTCATAGCGTCTCCCTGCTTCTAGTTCACTCTGAGTCTCCTGATTGACAAAATGTGATCATTCAGCTTCCTGCTCTGGCCTTCTGCTGCCATGCCATCCCTACAATTGTGGACTCTCCCTCTGGAACCATAAGCCAAAATTAACCTTTCTTTTTATAGGTTGATTTTGATCATGATATTTTTCACAGTGACAAAAAGTAGTTGGTGCACCTGCTCAGCCATCTTGCACACAAAAGCTGATGTACCTCTGGTCCAAGGAGGTCAGATGACATTGTGAGCAAAACTTGGCAGCATTCTCCATGTGTATTACAGGCATGAGATATGCCCAAGAGTAAGGGAGTCATAGAGACTTGCACCAAGGTTCCTGAAAGCTACTGAGGTCATGTGTGGCAGAGTCAGAGTCCCTGTAAGGAAAGAAGCTTATGTTGCAATATAGATGCCAAACATTGGGATGTCTGCTGAGGAAAGCTGTATGATCAGAGTGAAGCCAGTCCAAGGGAGCTGATATGTATGCTGCAGGCAGCAGAGTTGGAGTGATGGGCTCCTCAGGCCCTTTGGAGCCCAGATGATTACAGCATGAGTCTTACATGCCAGAAATGGAGCTTCAGGAATTGGGGTGGGGGGAGTTGTTTTGTTTTGTTTTGTTTCTTGCCTTGTTGGGTTTTGGGTTTCCTCGGTTCCAATCTTTCCTTATGATCACCCATTCCTCCCCTTTTGGAATAAGAATGTTTACTCTGTGCCATTGTATAGTGGTAGTATGTACTTTTTTTAGGGACTCACATTTAACAGATTTCCTTGAGTCTCAGAAGAGATTTTGGACTTTTGAACAGTGTTGGGACCGTTAAAGACAATAGGAACTTTTGAAGTTGGGGTGAAAGCATTTTTCATTATGACTACAAACCTATGGGGGCCAGAGTGGACTATTGTGGTTTGAATGTGAAATGCCCCCCATAGGTTCCTGTGTTCAAATACTTGGTCCCCAGATGTTGGTATTAGTTTGGAAGGTTATGACCCCTTTAGGAGGTGGAGCTTTGTATAATGAAGTAGATCACTAAGGGTGGGCCTTGAGATTTTAATCCTGGACCCACTTCCTTTCTGCTCTCTGCTTTCTGACTGCAAACACAGTGTGACCAGCTGCTTCACTGTCCTAGTTTGCTTGATGCTGCTGTAACTCAACAGCTCTTAGCTGAATGGAACAGTACTGTTTGGCTACTTCGTGACATCTAAGACTCAAAGGAAGACAGGATAAAGGCAAGAGAGAAACCTTTTTTTAGTTAGCATCCATATTAGGTTTTATCTATTCACTACCAGCCATCTTCTCCATTGACTCCAACCTGCTGCATGAACCTTTCCCTACGCGGCCCCTAGCACAAGGAGTGTCCTGGGGAGACTCAGCTTTCCAACTTCTTAGTCTCCTGATCTGCACAAATATACGTCTCTTGTCCAGTGGTTCTAGTGGAACCCCTTTCCTAAGAGTGGTCAGAATGTTCAAGCTTCACATACCTGAGCTGATGGTCATGGAGTTTTCTTCTAGTTCATTTTCCTAAAGTTTCCCATAGGTTGTAATCTGTTTTCAGACTCAAGAAAGTACGTTAGGATTTTCATAGGCTTTGTTTCCTTTCAGCATTCCTGGATAGAACCATCTGTAAAGACAATAACATTTGGAGCAAGACCAGTTCATTCATCCCCAGTTCAACTCTGGTGGAGGGGTAATTGCTTTATGAACTATCACTGTCTCTAGCAGGCAAAGGCTAGGCCTCTGGGACCCAAGCTGAAGAAAACAGCCCATAAGCCCCATGCTTTTCTTCCCCCACCCCAGCCTGTTTATATGGCTGAGAGTTAAATTTAAGAGTGACAGAAATTCCAAACAAGATAAATTTACTAAGGAAATGCAAAAAATCATGAGGATAAGTAAAAATAACTACTGGTCATATCTGCATATCAAGGTCAATCCAGAGAGTGATAAATCATAACCTGCTGAATAAATGGGTGTCTCAATGCATGTTTATAGAGAAAAGTAAATAAAGAGAAAGAAAAACCTCCTCCTTACTTTAGAATATCAGCCAATAAATACAGAAAAGATGATGTAACTGACAAATCACCATTTGGCAACCAGAATAATAATAACCATTCACTCAAGGAATAATAATCAATAGGTGCAAAAACTAGTAGATAGGTATAAACTAGTAGATAGCCTCATGGTGTCTCTCTGTAAGATACCTCTGAATTGATCATCACCACTATGTTGCTTTTGCATCACTGTGAAAATACAAAAACAAAAAATGCCTCACAGAACCTTATGTGTTACAACACTGACCTGACAGACAAGATGTGCCCACAGTGCAATGGTGGCATGATTGCTATGGGGTAACCAACCACTTTCTGCTTGGATTTGAGGCCCACTCCACAAGAGAGAGAATTCATATGAGTCTGGTACTGTAAACCTGATGAAAAGCCCATGACTGATGAAGTCATAGGCCCTAGTGGGGAGCCTACTACTGCTGTTTTGCTAAATATCCATGGTGCAAAACTGTCTTCATGTTTATGTTTCTATCCATAGACAAATGTTGCCTTCAGCCATCATCAGAGAAGGGTTTTGTTTTTGTTTTGCAGCAAATGGCAGTGAATTCAGAGACTCTTGGCTGTTTACAGTGCTGAGATTAGGAGAGTGTTGAGTGCTCAACTCTAAACCGAACATCTACATCATCCCCTAAAGGCTCAGAGAACATCAGAGAAAGGGGAAAGAGTGTAAGAGTCTGATGATGGGAAGAAGGGATGAGAAATGCTACCTTCTGGATATGATGTGACCTCTGCAATCAAGAACTCACAGCATGCATGAGCCTGGGCCTGGCAACACTCAGCCACGGATAGGGAAGGACTCTTGGGGTCTGCCCAGGGGAACTACTGAGTGCTGAATGATGCTGGAGGAAGGGAGTCATTGTCTTCAGTAGTTAGCCATTGCATATGTGGATGACCCTGGTTAAACTCAGTTGGTCTCAAAACAGAAACAAAATGACATGAAAAGAAGAGGAGGACTTGCAAAAGGTGGGGGGGTGATGCAGATGGGAGGGGGACAGGACAGGGCTGGGTGAGTATAATCAGAATGCTATACACGCATGAAACTGTCAAGGAATAGCCTCACAGAAGCAATTTAAGCAGGGATGGATGGGTTTATTTTAGCTCAGACTCAAAGGTTCCAGCCATAGTCCTTGGCTCTGTTGGTTCTGGGCCTGAGGTGAGGCAGGACATGATGGTGGTAGGAGTATGTGTCAGAGGCTGCTTACTTCATAGTGGACAGGAAGCCAGAGAGAGGAAGAGATTAGAGACAGGCATAACATTCAAAAGTGTGTCCAGTGATGTACCTCCCCCAGCTAGGACCCACCTATGTCACTTCTATACCTTTAAGTCCTAATCCTACTTCTGGGCAGGTGAGGGGACGATGTCCTCTGGGAGAATCTCCATGGCTTTGTTTGCTGATTCAAGCTGACAGAACCAAAACAGCCAACTCTTGATCCTTTCCTTTCTAGGCAAGCAAGCTAAAATGCTTGTGTTAAACAGCTGTGTGTCCTCACTTGGGCCTTTGAAGAACTAAGGAACATGGGTTAATGTGGGATGTTTGAGGCTCTGTGAGGCTGCAGTGGGTCCCTGTTCTCAGGAAGGAGGATGAAGGAAGCCATCAGTCACCAAGGTGCTCAGGCAAAGGGGCCAGCAATAGGGCATGTGTCAGCAGAATCCCTCCTCACCTGCCACACTCATCTATAAAACAGCAATGTAAAATAATGTCATTGAGAAAATAAAATGAGTTTTATACATTTTTAAATCAGCTAACTTCAGAGGAACATTAGCCACAATACTAAGAATGCAGAAATAACCCATGCCCACCAATGAGTGAATGAGCAAACTAAATAGACACCATATATTCATTTAATGGAATATTACTCAGCCTTAAAAAGGAAGACAGTGCTCACACACAGTACAACACAGATGAATCTCAGGAACATTATACAGAGTGAAATAAGCCAAACACAAAGCTATCCATTTCCAAGCCATCAGGAAACCTGGACGAGCAAGAGTATAGCAGGCCTCTGGCCAGCCCTCCAGGCTGGAGACCTGGACCCCTTTCAGGCCACCATGAAACTAAGCCCAGGGGTGGAAGTGTGGTGTCGTAGCTCTGAAGTCTGTGCAAGAGCTGCTTAAGGTTAAGGCCAGGATCCAGGATACTCCACTCCTCCTCTTCCTCCTTCCCCTTCTTCTCCCCACCCCTGCTTTAGAGCCACAGAGAGGACACAGACCTCCCTACCATGCAGGACGAGAGGTGCAGTGTGACTGTTGTCTCCAGTTGGCACTGGCTTTGGCGGAAAGGACAGGCTGCTCAGAAGTGAGGCTGTAACAGGTACACTCCAGCCAGTAGGGTGATCAGCAGCAACCAACCCACAAGTGGCCTAGGCTGGCATCACACCTGAGCTTCTGCCTCGCCTACCAGAAGCCACCTGAAAGACAAGGCTCAGGGACTATGCATGTTGGCTGGGAAAGGACTGATCTATCCACTGTGATCCCAGGTGGGTGACCCTTCCCCCATACCACGAGTGACCTCAGCATCCACAAAGCTTTGCAGTGCTGAGATAGTCTTTGTAACCTGGGACAGGCTCTTCCCCAATTAGGCCTCATTTTTCCCAGCAGGAACAGGAAAATGGCCCAGAGGAGTGTACCAGAGTGACTCTAGCAAACTTTCATGCTGATTTCATGTCCATCCCCTTCCCTTGATCCCCAAGAAGAATAGAGAACTCCGAGTAGGGCCTGGGCAGTTATGAAACATTGGGTGGATGGAGTAACTACAGGGGGTGTGTGAACACAGGACTTAAAATGCAATGCTGGAAGACTCAGAGCAAATCCAGAGGATCATAATCTGTGTCTGACAATCCAACTGGTGCTCAACATTTTCCCAACAGGAATTTGCTTCTCCCTGCCCACCCCATAGCTCCCCACCCCAGCCAACAGTACCATCCTACATTTGGGAAGCAGTAGGATCCCAAGGCTGCCACCCTTGCTGTTTGCCCTCTGCTTTCTTGGGCTGCAGAAGGGAGCTAGGCTTGGAGGTGACCAAAGAGCCTTCTGCATCCACATGACCATTCAGCGGCTCATGGAGAGCAGTTGGGGACTGCAGGTGCTGGCTCCTCCTAACCATGTCCCGAGCCCCGGGCCTTTGGAGACCAAGGCCCCCAGCACCCATTTCCCCTGTCCCCTTCAGGTTCCTACAAACACTCTAAGTAGAACTTCATGGTTCTACTTAGGGCCAGCAGCCCCCTGGAGCCCCTGGGTACCCCTTGCCTGTGAAGCAGCCCTCTATGGGGACCCTGCCTGCCCTGCCTAGAGCTTAGCAGTGCTTACTTGGAGCTCCAAAGTAGATCCCTGCAGAGTTTCCACATGGTCCCTGTGTTCCTTCCATGCTGGTACTCCCTGAGCTTTCCCTTTAAGAATGCAAAAGTTCCTGAGCCACACCTGAAACTCCTCTGACCCAAGAGCCAGGCCAGTGGCAGCTGCAGACTCACTAGTCCTACTTCCTCTGTGGAGGACTGGTGTCCCTCAGGGGCAGCTAATGCCCTGCCTCAGGTGCAACTCTTACCTGTGTGCAATCTCCACAGGTGCCAGAGCTGGGTGTCCCCAGCTGCATGTGCCATAAAGCCCCAAGCCACTTCCATGGATCACAGGTGTAATGGACTTGAGTGACTAGAGATGCCCTCATCTGTTCCCCTGGCAGTCACTGGGGTCCAGTGGCTCTCTGCAGGCCGGGCAGTGGGCTCAGATCAAAGCTGAAACCTGGGGACAAAGCTGGGTAGCTGAGTCAACAGCACTGTACAAGCATCTGGAGGTCAGAGATTCACTCTTCAACCCCGTAAATGAGGATGATGGAAGCCAGCCATGAAACAGGAGGAGCCTGGCTTGCTGGCCACCGGCTTGCCATGGGACCCGGCCGAGTCTACCCTGGGCCTCAGTGCCCTTCTCTGGAAAAGGGGAGTGGGTTGTAAAATCTTCCACAGAAAAAAATCTCCCTTCTTCTTTGGCCAGGAAATGGCACTGACTTGTCCATACTCCAAGCAGAAATGCATCGGTCACACTGGAGGTTCAGGCCTCCTGCCCTTGAAGCGGGAAGGACAGGAATGTTTTACTTGGCTTTATAAAAACAAACAGTTCTGACACTGTATAGCCCAGCAACCTGTGGCTTCTACAGAGGCAGGATCACCCAGCGGTCACTCACTAAGGCTTCCAAGGGGCAGGACTGGGACAAGGGCTTCTGAGTAGGCAGGAAACTGCCATACTCAAATAACATAATTCAGAGGGGTGTGTAATAAAGGGACAGTGCTAACCAGAGGCACTGTGTTGGTCTGGGCTTTCCAGATGAACAAATCCAAGAGGAAGTATGCATAGAAAGAAATTTGTTTTAAGGACTTGGCTCCCATAACTATAGAGTCTGGCAAGTCCAAACCTGCAGGATGGCGCTGGCAGGCTGGACCCAATCCTTTCTCTTTGGGTTGATGATAATGAAAGCTGGGCATGAGTTCTGATTCTGTGCAGATGTTTTCCTTGTACTGGAAAGACTGGCAGTAAGTGAACATCTTCCATTTTGGGTGGCACAGTTCACCTTGCCTACTTAAAGGATGGTGTCTGAGATATGGTGGGGGAGCAGAATCCCAGAGACAGGATCTGCGTCACCAGGTCCCCCAAGTGATAACTGGGCCCATGAGCAAGTATGTGAGCCACAGGACTGAAGGACAGAGAGTATGGAGGAGGACTCAGGCTGATGAGCAGAGGGTGAGGTGTGGGGTGGGTCTGTGTTCCAGCTTTGGGCACAGGGCCTTGAATGTGAATCTGGAGCTCACTGTCACCACCAGAGCCACCTTGGGCATTACAGTGTACCTTCCTTCCTTGTTGCTAAGGGGGACCAGCCTTGCAGGTTGCTATGAAGATGACAGGAGACTCCTGTCACATAGTGAGCAGATGGTAAGTGTCAGGGACTTTGCCCACAGTATCTTCCTCAAAGTTGATTTTCAGACATCTGTAACCCCTAGGTCTACCCTCTGGCAAAGCATGCAGGCTCTCACTCTTTAGACTTGTGGAAAGAGATGGAGCAGTGCCCTTGGTATAAGAATATTGGGGTGTCTCTGAGAGCTGTTTTTTTTTTTTTTTTTTTTTTTGGCTTTTTTTTCCACATAAAGCCTTTTATTTTGCAATCATTACAGAGTCCCCTGCAGCGTGTGACCATGAATCTATGCCCTCTCTGTCCACTTTCCCCATGGTGGCAATAGTACTAAACCACACTGATCCTGCCCATGTTTCTAATTCGGCCTGTACTCATGGGGGCATACACATGTCCACACATGTGCCTGTGTGTGCAAGCACACAGAACTCTGTGATGTTATGATGCCTCCTTCCCATATACGCTAACATTTTTTAGTAGTTTGTCCAAATACAGGGCTTGGTCAACATGGCCTGGTGATTTGGGAAGGAGCTGCCTAAGTTTATTCCTGAGTCAATCACAAAGATAACATTAATGAGTGAATAAATGAAATTAAAGGCAATGAGGAATGATTAACTCAATTCAAGGCAACTGTTTCCAAGGGAAGTTCACTGACTCTAGTGCAGAAATTTTAACCATCTCTGATCTTGCTTCCCCACCCCAGGGAGCCTTTCTGCTCTGGCATTTGCTCTGTTTGTTTGCCTTCTGCCGATGAAGCCCAGACCTTGCACATGTTGGCTCAGGGCCTTGCACGTGTTGGCGAGCCTTCTGCCACTGAGCTATATCTCTGCCCTCCACTCTCAACCCCAAGAATGAAGCATTTCTGAGTTACCACAGACCCTGTTCTTTCCTTGTCTCTTTCTCTAGTTTTCTGTAATTCTCTCCCTCTGCTGGTACAAGCCTGGCAACACCTTCACTCAAAACAACCCTAGGAACTGGGGTTCAGAACATCCACAGGCCAGCACTAGTGGTGCTGTGACACTCCCATGTTTCAATACTTAAAGATCAAGTGGTCAGAACACCAGCACCCTAGCTTCATCTTCGAGGGTCCTGGCTCCTCCCTGGTAGGGGAGGTCCACCCAGGGCATTATGAAAGGCCTGGTGGGAAGGGGTGGACTCACTACAGCCTGGAAGTGTGCACACAGCTGATCAAGATGGAGGGTAAACTGCTCACAGGAGGTGAGGACTATGAAAAAGTCAACCCCAAGGATTATCTGACCACCTACTATGCGTTTGACTCAGGCACCGTGGCTGAAAACAAAATCCTAAAGTTTAACCTGGAGAAACTCTTCCAGACCTTCTGGAAAGGTGAGTGACAGGCCCATGTAGGAAAGGGCTGGAGCTGTGTCCGTGGGAAGAGCTGCCATCTGCACACACAGATGTTGCAGGGGTGACCACCCTGGCATCCCACAGGGCCTGAAGGTGGCAGTGTGGCCACATCCAATGGAGCCATGCCCCAGAGACGAGGAACTTGGCTTAAGGCAATGAACAGCCTAAGCTGCTTCATCTGTAAAATGGGCGGGGTGTACCCAGATCTGTGGGGCCCCCCGAGGCCCATGCTGGGGGAAGGTAAAATAACAAATGTGAGTGCCGCGGCTACTCTGTTCACCTCTTCTGCTAGAGGCCTTTCAGAGGGTTCTGTAACCTTTCCTGGACTATGAATCTCTCTGGAAATCTGATGAAAATTCTTTCACACACAAGCATAAACACACACGCTCGCTCGCTCACTCACTGACTCATTCACTCACTCACTCACTCACTTTTTCTACTACATCCCAGGAGAGACTAAGGCTCTATGCCAGGAAACCTCGGAATACAGAGAAAGGGAAATTCCGTGCTCTGAGAAGGGACAGGCTTAGAGCTGGCACTGGTTTTTGACAGGCAGACAGTGGGTATCAAGGGAGACTGGAGGATGGAAAGAGCAGGACTGAGGACCCACTATAATGGTACCCTTGCTTTCTCACACGCGACTGCCTCCCAGGCTCCCACTAGCACCCTGGAGGAAGCAGGGAGGTTTTGGTGCCAGCTGCCCCCTGCCTCCAGTGTCACTCCAGGCCCTTCTGCACACAGCCCACAGACAGCCCAAAGGCAGGAAGTGTCTGCCCTTCACTATCACATCCTAATGAGGCTTGGGATTCTTATCCACCTCAGCAGGGTGTGGGTGCCCAGACCTGCCTGTGCTGTCTCTACAGGAGGCATGGGGGGTGACCTCCTGATCAACATTGGCTCAAGCCCCACTGTCTACCAGTTGCTTTCCGCACGTGAAGCTTTCCAAGAGATCATTGCCACAGACTACACTTCCAAGGACCTGCAAGAGCTACAGAAATGGCTGAATAATGACCCAGGGGCCCATGACTAGTCCCCTGCCATGCAGTATGTGTGTGCACTGGAGGGAGACAGGCACCTACAGGCACTCCATGTCACCCTCCTGCTTCATCCTTCTCAGACAAGACCTCTCCATGACTGGGAGAGCACAGGGGCCCACAACCCTCTCATTTTTCTCTTGGCCCACCTGTCCCTCATAGCCAATAAGCCCTCCTCCTGTGTCAGTCCACCTGCAGTCCTGGAGGTGCCTGAGATTGCCTGCCACTGCTCTTCCCTTCTCTGTGCACACCCATCCCAGCAGTGGTACCAGCTTCCTTCCATCTGCCGTCCTCCAGGAAACACGCCCTGCACTGCCCCATGCCACTACCCCTTTCCTCTGGAAACTGATTCAGCTTTTCCTTTGATCTTGGGGGACCTACTCATCATTGAAAGACAGGCTGTAGGGTAGGCCCCACACTTGTCTCAACCCTAGAGACAAACACCACCTGGGAGCTCAGAGGGTGTATGCCTCAATGGGAGCCCCTGGGGTCAACGATTCTAACCCAGCACCCACAGTTGGAGAGACCAAGGCCTTGACTTGCAGAGGGGACTTTAGCTCTTCTCAGAGCAGTATGAAAACAGAACTCAAAGTTTCTACCCCAACATGGAAAGAGGGACTGACTTTGTTACAGTCTAGGACAACCTGAATGGGTTAGGGTGAGAGGGCCACAAACTTCAGGAACCTCGGAGTGAACTCCAGCTTCATTCATACTTCCCATGAGTTGAAAAGCACACACAACCACGGGGAGGAAGTCACACCCTGTGGATCGCCTGTTCCAGAGGGAAAGGCAACAGTCACCCTGTAGATAAGAGACGAAGGTAACGTGAAGTGAGAGGAGAGGCTTGGGGGGTGGGGCAGAAGGACAAGGTGCTGGTCCAGGGAAAATGGAGACATGACAGCTCCCAGAAGGAGCTGAACCTCCTATGGTTGAAGTGAGGGAGAGAGGGCGTGGAGAGGTGAGGAAAGACCATGCCAGTGGAGCGAGCAGCATGGACAAAGGCCAGCAGACTTGTATGTGAGTGAGGAGAATACGGTTGGTGTCAGCTCAGTGCAGCAGGTTGAGAGCCTAGGAACCCTGGCTGACCTGGTGGCAGAGCCCTTCCTAGCAGTGACTCTAACCAGCAGAAGCAGTGGAGGGGCTGGGAGGATGCTGGAGTCTGGACTGATGCTGCGGGGCTGGTTAGCCATTGGCTAGTGGTTTAGATGTGAAGGAACGTAGAGTCAAGGGTGATCCCAGGTTTCACAGCCAGAGCCGCAGGAGGGGTAGAGCCATCTTCTGTTGGAAGGAGGGAGAAGGGAGGAGTTCATGTGGCAGGTACAACTGGGGTGCTGTGGATGGAGCTTCCGGGTGATATAGCCATGTGAGAGTGACTGGGTATGCCTGTGGGAACTCAGTGGCGACTGCGGGGCTGGAGAAGGAACTCTGGGAGCCATCAGTGGGTGGCTGAGACCTTTACATAGCGTGTGTAACAGGAGGAGGCCTGTGTTGCAAGTAGAGATCTGGAGGGGCTGCAGAGGGAGACAGGGAGAATAAGAACCATGAGCATGAGACTCCCCCAGGAAGCCAAGGAAAGAACACATTTGCAGAAGCAGGGAGCCCCAACATGGACAAACCTGGAGGCCACTGTACTGGAAACAAGCCACACCAAGAAGGAGGAGTGCTACAGGGTTCCATGTCACAGCTATTCCCAGCAGGCAAACCCACACACAGAAAGCAGACAGGTGCTCACCAGGAGCTGGGAGGGGCTGGTGGGAAGTCACTGTTTAATAAGTTCAATTTCTGGTTGGGTTTTTGTTTTAGATAGGAATTCACTATGTAGTCCAGTGCTGAGATTATGGGTATGTACCACCACACCCAGCTGAGTTCAGGTGGAGGGAAAGGTTTGGAAAGAGTGGCAATGGTCACACATCATCATGAGTCCAATTAACATTGCAGAACTGGACACGAGTGTTCAAAAGTGCCAGCCAGTACAGCACACATGTGAATTCCAGCACTCAGGAGGCTGAGACAGGAGGATCATGAGTTTGAGGCCAGCCTTGGCTACAGAGTGAGTTCCAAGTCAGACTGAATATAGAGATCCCATTTCAAAAAAAGGGGAAGATTTTGTTATATATTTTTTTCAAGTCAAAAAATAATAATGGAGGAATGGAGAGATGGCTCAAGCACTGGCTACTCTTGCAGAGGACTTGGGTTCAACCATTACAACTCAATTCCAGGGAGCCAATGCCCTCTTCTGGCCTCTATGGGCACCAGGAATGATGCCAACAAATGTGGTACACACACATATATGTAGGTAAAACATTTATACATATAAAATGAAAATAAACAACAACAACAATAATAATAATGGAGCCGATGAGTTAGCTCAGTTGGTAAGGTGCTTGCCTTATAAGCAGAAGGACCCGAGTTCAAACCCCAGAACTCATGTTTTTTAAAAAAAAGTAAGGCATGAAATGGTGACTCATGCTTATAATCCCAGCACTGAGGAGGCCGAGACAGGCAGATTCCTAGGACTTGTGGGCAGCCAGTTTTGCTTCTTTGATAAGTTCTAGGCCAAGAGACCCTACGTCAAAATTAATCTTGTTTTTGTTTTTGTTTTTGTTTTTGTTTTTGTTTTTGTTTTTGAGATAGTGTTTCCTTGTATCTCCAGCTGGCCTGGAACTCACTTTGTAAACCAGGCTGGCCTCAGTCTCACAGAGATCTGCCTGCCCCTGCTTCTGCCTCCTGAGTATTAGAATTAAAGGCATGCGCCACCACAGCTGGCAAAATTAATTTATTAATAAAAAGTGTGAGGCGTAGTGGCACATGCATTTAGTCCCAGCACTTGGGAGGCAGAGTCAGGCAGATCTCTGTGAGTTTGAGGCCAGCCTGTTCTACATAGAGAGCTCTAGGCCAGTTGGGGCTACAGGGAGACCCTGACTCAAAAAGACCAAAAAAAAAAAAAAAAAAATTTCTTTGGGGGGTGGGCGTGGGG